CGCTGATTTCAGGGTGAGGCCGAGCGTCGTCGGTAGCCGAGGCTGATGGAGGAGGAAATTTCGCGCGGGGTCTGGGGAGGGAGGGAGGTCAGCAAACCTAGGAATCGGGCGCCTGATCTGATCACCGCCGTGGAGGCCCCTGAAATGTGGAGGCCCCAGGCGCGCGCCTCCTGCGCCTGTGCGGAAATCCGCCGCTGTTTACCCCCCACCCCCCATGACTTGTCTCTGGTTCCATACTTCTCTGTGCCCAAGGAATATATAACCAAAGCTTGTAAATTTTTTTAAAAATCAGCATTTGGGGGATATAATTTAACAATATATTAACACTTTAAACCTTTAGTTTCTTCCAAGAATTTGGTCCACCTGAGCTTTAAGGTTTAACCAAAAAGCAACTGCCAGTGGACATAATTGGATACATACACAACAAGCGCCTTCAAGTTTTATTAGATCTCCAAAATAAGGATCATAATCAGATTTTAAAAAATCAGTTGAGGAGTCCAATAATAGGCCATAAGAACATTCAATATTCATTAAAAGCATTGATTTGTTAATATAACCAACTCCAGTTCTTCATTCCAAATTTATTTTTGTAAAGTTTGATAGTGTGAGATTCCTCACTTACCCTCTTTAAAAAAATATATTTAAACTAGATGGATGTTTGTTAGCTGCTGAAGCATCCAGATCAAACAAAAAATGTAATAATTTGTATGAATGTAGATATTTAGTATCAGTTATATAAGTTATATAGTCATCCATCTCACAAATGTGAAGTTGAGTGACAGTTAAAACAATTAAAACAGCTAAAAACAACATGGTTACAAATAAAAATAAATCTTCAGGAGAAAAACCAGTATTCTACATAACAAAATACCCATCTCACAGCCCCCCCCCCCGATTTATATATTTGGTATCATATGTAGCACACCATAAACCAGGTAGTATATATTTGGTACTATATATATATCGCTGTTCAGCTTTTACACATGTGTACATCTTCAAGTTAGTCTTCATTCCTGGTGGATGCCCAGACAAATCCATGCTGTTTTCTTGGCAAGATTTTTGGAAAAGGTTTGTCGTAGCTTTTTTCCTAGAGCTGTGAGAAAGTATCCTAGATGACTTCATGCGAAAGGCAGGACTAGAATCACAATTTCCATTTCCTGGTTTCTCCTTTAGGTAAATCATATTTCTTTTGGAAAATTTTAATACAATTAAGTATAACCGTCCCCATTTACTCTGCACCACCACCCCAAATATTTTTCCTGCCATATTAAATAGGCTTGTTCTAGATCACAATCTCACATTTAATTTCTAACCCAATACTGTCTAAATACTGTGTGTCTAATTACCTTAAAGGTTAGCAGTAGCATTAAATTCCCTATATAGTTGGAACCAAGAATTTGCTAGGATTTCAAAGAGTGCCAGATACTAACTATCCAATAAGGCACAAAAGAGTAACTTTGATTTTAATTCTAATAATGTTATTGTTAACATTGTCATGCCATTACTTGGTACTGATCTGAATAAGTATGTCATATGATGCAGATTAAAGTCTGGAAAATTGAAAGTACCACCATCGTATAAAAAATGTAGCTTTAAAGGAGATCTCTTTGTGTTTGCCCATTCCATATAAAACTAACCATTAATTCACTTCATTGATTTAGGTCGGTCTTAACATTTTAGTCTGGTTTACCATGAGATTGATCATGACAGGATGTTCTCCTTTGTCTCTGCATTGTATGGATAAAGGTATTTACAATCACTAGTCCTGAATTTAGAATAGATTGAAAATTTTAAATATTAAATTATTGGTTAAGTTATAAAAACCTGGGGAGCATAGCCATAAAGATCTCTCCTGATCACACAAATCATTTGGAGCCAGTTTGTATTCCACATACTATATCCCAGAATCATCTAGAATTGGCAGGATAAATATTGTTCCTACGGGAGAAAAAAATATCAAACGTGCCTTAGACATACACTGAGGACCACATGCAATTATTATTTATTGTGAAATAAGCAGTCACAACTCGATTTTGTTTTGTTTTTTTAAAAAAAATAACATTATAGGTGTATTATTTCCGTTGTAGACTAGAACATGGGGCCATGAGATTTTGGAGAACTATTATCCCCAAAGAATGCTTCCTGTACTTACAAACCAATGTCACACTCCAAAGCCATTCATATCTATATATTTATTAAATTTATCTTAAAGTTATACCATTTTTGGAATAAAAACCCAAGCCAGGCTTCTGACCTTATTTTTTTCACCATTGGCTATGCTTTTGTAAGATGTCCTTGCTGAAGGATTTGTCAGCACTGCAAAAACCATATGCAAATATTTTTCACATTAAGTCTTGAGGAGGAGGAGGAGGAGGAGGAGGAGGAGGAGGAGGAGGGAAGGGGATAATGGTTGCTTAGCCCTAGAAAAGTAGAATATGTGACAGAGACTCAAGAGACAGAATAGCCCTCCCTTGACCATCTTGTCCTTAAAAAAAGACAAAGTTTTGGACAAGCTTCCCTGATTTAGTTAATGTGTACCCCAGCAGTGAAGCAGAATTCTTGGGATCCCTGCCTTGTCTGACCTTACTTTCCTTGAAGCACTGGCGTTTGTATAAACTCAGTTGCCAGCAAGACTATATTACCAGAGGTAACAGCATCAGAAGTTAAGAGGTCAAATGAACATGAGCCAAGCCAGTGTAGGAGCAATCAGCCTGTGAAAAGGACACACTGGGGAACAATTTGGTCTGAGTGTAAAGTGCGTGAAGTCTGAGCAACAACCCCCTCCCCCCAAGGAAAGAGATGAGAGTGTTTCATTTACGTGCAGAAAGCAAAGGCTAAAAATAAAAGCATGCAGCAGTTTGGTCTAGTGTTTAAACCAGATGACTGTGATTTTAATTAAACAATAGACCGAACTGCTGCATGCTTTTATTTGCATGCTACACAAAAGCCTGCCCGGTGACTTTGGGCTACTGAGACACCCTCTGCTCACCTCACCTCACAGGGTTGTAGATGTGGGGAAAATAGGAGGAGGAAGGAGTCTTAGGCTTAAGTTTCTTCTGAAGTAATAAAGGGATAAAAATCTAACCAATAAATAACATAGTAAATTAGAGACTAAGACCAGGATGAAATCATTAAAGATTTTATTTGCATGTGGAGTTCACACTTCACTGGAATGCAGTTTTTCTTTTGTAAAGGGAAATCATAAATATTACCTTGTGAATAAGCATTTCTGAATCGTAACCTTGAATTTCCGTTAACTTTTTTTTTTTTTTTAGTCCGTCGTGCATGTAAAGTCCTCGAAGTAAAATTCTTTATTTGCTTCTTTATAATTGTTTTCGGTAAAGTTAACGTCATGGACTTAAACTAACCAAAGGTTTTGTGGTCTCCAGAAAAAGATATATTGTCTAGATTTAACAAAATAAATGTGACTATGTAGACTGAAATATTTAGTAAGGCTTATTTTGGAGAAGCTCGTAGCCGAGGTGGCAACCTTGTTCTATCCAGTTGTTTAGGGCAGCATGTTCTGTAATCCCTGTGCAGTGGCTGGGGATGATCAGATTTGTAGTCTGCAACATCTGGCTGCGTCAAAGTTGTTGATTGATGTAGCAGTAGACAAGTAAAAAAAGTGGTGTAAAAAGAAGTCAAAATGGTGGATATGATTATGCAGATGAGCCTCACCTCTTTTCCCGCTTTTTTAACATGCCTGACTTCTATGTGGTATACTTTTAAAAGAGGGGAAACTCCTTTTGTGCCTTCCAGCCTGCCTACTTGATTTTTTTTTCTTCTCCGTGGCAGTAAACTAACAAAACTATCTCTCTGAAAGTTTGACTTGATGGAGATTAGCCATGCCCAAATCCTGCATTTCGATCCTAACCTGGTTCCCATTTTTGTTTGCCTTTAGACTAGCAAAATGCTCTTGGTATAAATGTATTACTTTCTGAAGCCTTTAACTTGGACAACTTGCATTCTCAATGTTTTTCAGTGGGACATTTATAGCAATTGGCATTTCAATATTCGTCGTGTTTGTAGTAGCCATCATTCTCTGCTTCACCTGCTCATGTTGCTGCCTGTATAAAGCCTGCCGAAGGAGACCGCAGCGTAAGTATCCTCCCTGGCTGAATTGTTGCTCTGTTTGAGGGAAACTGTGAGTGCTGTTGTTGAGCACACTGGGGGGAAAAGCGATCACAGCAGAATGCCTCCCAGAAATGCTGTCTTTAAAATAGATGAAAAGTCACTTATTTAAAATGTAACTAACGTTAGATCAGAGGCTGAACCAGGAATGGACACTTACCTCAGTCATCAGAGATGCTGTTTTCTTTGGTTATCTGCACGAGTGACAAACTTAAGGGGGTTCAGTCTTACTGTGACTTTACTTAACCTAGGACTATCATTCTCAGAAATCCCCAGGAGCTGGGAGATTCCAGTGACCATACTTATAGGGAATTATGGGCATTGTAGTCTTGAATAAGGATGGAAAGGTTGGCTTACAGCTTCTAAGTATCTGGGCAAAGCAGCAGGTGTGGGACAGAAGATACTAGAAGATCAGACATCTTCTCTTGGTGTGCCTCTTAGCAGAAGTAACATTTCTGGTGGGAGGAATGATAAGTTTCTTTTTCTACCTCTTGCCTATGGAGAAAGCTCAAAACTTATTTGAAAAATAGTGGCCAAGTTATAAAACCAGCAGAAGAAGGGAAATAGTTGAGTTTCCTTCCTGCCCTGAGTCAGCCTTACCAGGTAAACCGGGACAGGAAACATATAAGCTAATTCTATTTTGTTGTAAAGAAACATTAACAGAATCTGCAAATCTGAAAGTACAATTCTGCCGTCGTCTTTACAGCCTGAGAAAGCAGGGAAAGTCCCTTCTGAGCTTCTTGCTCTGCTCACTATCCAGCTGCAGACTGTGCTGCCTCTTACCTGATCAGTCCCTAGGCATCATCGCTTCACCCCAATCTCCTAAGGTCTTTCCCACATACCATTACACTGTGATTGATCAATTGGTTATGTGCCATCCAGTCATATTCTACTCCTAGTAACCACATAAATGCCCTGACACCTAACGATCACATTCCTGTACTGATTCCTTTCTAAACACCCTTCTTGTGTTTTACAGCTATTGTCACCACATCCACAACTGTGATGCAGGTGCCTTACCCTCAACAGCCTGGGGTTCCAGTTGCTTATGCCGCAGGAGCATACCAAGGATACAATCCATTGCCGGTACAGCCCCAACCTGGAATGCCAGCAGCACCCTACCCAACCCAGTACCCTCCGCCCTATCCTACACAGCCTATAAGGCCACCACCATACCAGGAAACTGTGGCAGGTAAGGAAAGAAGAGGGGAGAGGGGTACTAAAACTGCTAGAACAGTGGTTCTCAACCTTTTTAATGCCGCGACCCCAACCAGTCGTAAGTCGAGGACTAAACCGGTCGTAAGTCGAGGACTAAACTGGTCGTAAGTCGAGGACTAAACCGGTCATAAGTCGAGGACTACCCAACCGGTCATAAGTTGAGGACTTTCCCTGCCCGGGAGCGCCGTGCATGCATGGTTCCGCCCCCTGCGCCGGCCGAGGCATAGCTGGCAAGCGGCAGAGACGGAGCAGGCCAACCACCAGCTGGCCCAGCCCAAGGGAGGTAAGGCACCAGCTGGAAAAGGGGGAAAAAATGGCAGACAAAAAAAATGGCAGACAGCCTTGCTTGGCGACCCCCATGAAATGGTCGATCGACCCCAAATGGGGTCCCGACCCACAGGTTGAGAACCACTGTGCTAGAAAGAAAAAAAGAAACAGATGCATGGTGCAGAATTCAGCAGATACTGCTCTGCCTGGAAGATCTTTGGTTTATGAGGATGGGGCTTTAGGGCAGATTGCTTCGATTCATGCTGCAGGATTGGTTTGGTGCACTCCATAGTCTTTCTACAGTGTTTGCTGAGAGATCCCAGTCTAGAAGGACTTTGACCAGCACTGCAGAGGATGACTTCTCTTAGTCTTTTCCCATAAAGTAAGCTTTGCTTCATGAAAGATCTTCAAGGAGGTACTTTGCTTGTATTTCATCAAAGCGAAGCCCCCTTCAAGGATTTGAAGAGGCCCAGCAATATCATTTCCTACGCAATGTTCATCAGAGAGAGACCACTTTGCCTATAAATCTCCATAGGGTAATACAGATGTGGTGCAGAAGAAAGAAGCAACAACCTAACATTTCAGATGCAAGTTGTCTTCAACTTTTGACCACAATAGGGGCCATGATTTCCATTGCTAAGCAGGCTATTGTTAAGTGAGTCACATCCAATTTTATGATTTTTGCCACAGTTGTTAAGTGAAACACTACAGTTGTTAAGTGAATGTTTCCCCCCATTGTTGGAAACTGGCTGGGAAGGTCACAAATGGTTGATCATATGGCCCCAGGATGCTGCAGCCGTCATAAATACATGCTAGTTACCAAATGTCCGAATTTTGATTGTGTGAACTTGGGTATTCTGTGAGAGTCATAAATTCAAGGGTGAGTTGTAAGTCACTTTTTTCAGTGCTGTTATAACTTCAAACAGTTGCTAAACAAGTGGTTGTAATTCGAAGACTATCTCTATAGAAGGAGTGTTGTTGTACAGCAGGCAATTAACTCAGTAGAGAAGGAGAGCTAGATGGAGATTAGGGAGACATTTTGGCCCAACAAGGAAGGCTTCTTTTCCTACTATAGGAATAAGGCTTCCATACAGACATCTTACAGAGTGCTCCAAGCAACGTGTTTGTATTGTTTACTATGACGGAAGAACAAACGTTCCCCATGGACATTAATTCACTTTAATACGCTTCATTCTGCGATATAATTTTCAGAACCTACAGATCAAGTTAGAGACTTTCCTTGATTTCCCAAAGGTGCTTTTTTCAGGAGGCGACTGGACTTTCTTGTTTTTTCTTTGAAGATGTTTCACTTCTCATCCAAGAAGCTTCTTGGATGAGAAGCAAAACGTCTTCAAAGAAAAAACAAAGTCCAGTCGCCTTCTGAAAAAAGCACTTTTGGGACCACCATACCTGGATGACTGAGAATCTACATAGACACTTTCTTGATTTCATAACAATATGGACACTAGCTCTTGTGATGAAAATCTAAAAAATATGCAGAAATAATTATAAAAAGAAAAACTGTAGACAGCCACTAACCTGCTGTGCTTGTCTGTTTGTTTCTTTTACAGCTGGTGCCTCAGCTCCTTCAGCTCAACCTCCTTATAATCCAGCATATATGGATCCTCCAAAGGCTTCCTATTAAATGGACTTTTGCTGTGTGTCTCTGTGGAAGCCTCTTCAAATTGCCTTTTTCACAAGGAGTTATTTCTGAAGATATTATTCCAACATATCTGTTTGGAGGGATGGGTCACAGTTTAGACAATTTTATTTACAGTGCATTGAGACGTGCAAGAAATTCAAGCAATTAAAATATGATTTTTTTGTAAAAAAAAAAAAAAGAAAATAGTGGTGAATCTAAGAAAGAACCTAAAAAGTAAACATCAAAAATATAATTGGATTAACTAGGAACAATCATTTGTGGAATTATTTTGTCATTATTTCATCAAAATCAATTTAGAATCGGCTAATCTCTACTCCAGGGAAGAGTAACATCTGCTGTGAAACAATGTTTTATAAATAATAGGGAAATAGCTCTTTAGCAAGAAATGGGGCATGTTGTTCAATAATTCCCTTGTTTTTATCCATTATGCAGCACTTGCACAGCCATTCAGTATCACAGTGCAAATATTTGAATTTCATTGGAATTTTATCACTATACCAAAAAAATCTTTTGAATTCTCTGTTGCATGGAGATTGTTGAATGGGATCATTTATCAGCTTTCTGTGTTCTGCAACAAAATATTACAGCACGTTGTGTTCTTATGAAAGAAGACCCGGACTCGGACCAAACAAAGATAAATAATGTAGTGACCTCTTCTGCTTTTTTTATCTGTAGTTCCCAGAATCCCTTGCCCTTAGCATCCAGAGGCTGCTGGGAATTTAAATCCAGCCGGAGGGATGTTAAATTACATAGCCCTGCTCTATGCTATTTAAATGGGACATTTCATTCCTCCCCACATTAACCATTTTTCTTATCTAACTGACAATCTATTTCCTATAGGCATATATATAGTTTTGATTTAGGCTGTATTTGTTTTGATTAGAGTCTCATTAGCCTGAGCATATTATTAGAAGGAGGAAATATCACAGTAATATTTCATTTTAAATGGATGTTTTGCTGCCATTTCAGAACAATCCATTTCTCAGTTGAAAGTAATTTTTCAACTACTTAAGGAGAGAAAAAGAGAGATGAATTTCTGTCTTGAAACAAACATTATCTGTATTGAATTTGGCATCCTAGACACTTGTATGAAAGTGGAAACATTTCAAAACTCTTTACATAGTAATATGGAACTAATTTGATAAGGAAGAAAGCCTAACCCTGGGCTAACACCCCAGGAAAAAAGAGATGGCTCCCAATCTCTGCATAGTTAAAGCAATCCAAAGGAAAACAACTTTGCTCCAAATAAAGTGATACAGAACCCAAAATAAATCAGTGCAGCTTATAAAACCAGACTATGAGATTAGTTAAGTTCTGAGAACTGTAGTCCCTGTTCAGAAATACCAGCCAAGAGATACATGGTTTGGGAGCTTTTTTTTCTACTGCTAATAGTTTTCCGTAGTTATAGGATTGTAGTCTTGGTGTTTGAAGAATATTTGTCACCTTTGTGTCTTCTAAAGCTCCCAGTTTCAGTTCCATTTTTCTATTTAAGATACTTGCAGAATAATTAAGACTGAATTCTGTAGAGCTTTCATTTAATATGAAGGGGGACTTTACAGTAAACTTACACAGGAACGTTTCTCTTCAAAAAATGTAGTATCTCCTCTGCATTAATAGGTTGTATCAGTCTTTTCCATAGCACTAATCTTGAGATATGTTGGTTTACGGCCATGCTTGCTGGATATACTGTAAATTATAATCCAACACAATAAAGTGCACTCATCTGAGAAAAGTGGACTACATTATGTTACAGAAAAATGAAAGGATATCAGAAAATCAAAAGTTATGTATGTGGATAATGGAATACTTCTTTGTGCATAGGAAAGAGAAAATGGCTGATTTCTGCAGCTTATGTTCAGCTCCACTATTGTAGTTCTCAACTTACAACCATAATGAAGTCTGCCATTTATGATCGCAAGTCATGATGGTTGTAAAGCAGGATATCATATGATTTTATGACTTTTTTTGCAACCAGTTGTAAGACGAGGATGACCTGTAAGTCTGAAAGAGTTTGCCCCCCTTATTCCTACCCATTAGAGATATCTTATTTCAGCAAGCTTCAGGTTTTATCCCAGCATGACTCAGTCTATGGTTTTACTTCCACATACGGTCTCAGAAAGAATACCTCTCTCTCTATCCCTGTGCTGTATTATGGAATCATAGTATTATTTTGCTGACGGCCGTTTGCCTGCTTGCCTCGAGCTGCTTTTGTTTCCTTATTTAGGCTATATATGCTGAGGTTAGTTTCTAATCATTGTAATATGTGAAATCACAGTTAACACTGGCAAGATTTCAGTAATTCACAACTATAACAGAATTTCTCAAAAGTATTTGTTTATGTAAAATTTATAATAGAAGGTGTTTCTTTAATGGAACTTTCTACTGCTAGAAGTGGGTCCTGTTACAATTCACAGTACTTGTATGAAGGATTGTAACAAGTGGCACATGTAGTGTCTCAATTAAAATGCTGCATTCTTTGTTGAAGAAGAGAAGATTTTAGTTTATCCTTTTTTATTGTGAACTTTTAAAGTGCCTTTTTCAAATTTTTGTAACTTGTGCCACCATAGCTATTGTACAATATTAATGTACTGTGATATTTTTGTTCCGAATCTTGATTTTGTTTTTAATAAAAAATTTCCTTTACATGTTGTTGCTTCTGGTAAAGAAAATACATTCAGAAAAAGGCTAGCATATTTGTGGATATTTCTAATAAATCAGACCATTTAAAATACACATTGCTTTTAAATGACTTGAATTTGGCTTAGATTAAAAGTGTTTGCATCCTTGAATTAAATGTTAGGGTTAGGGTTTTACATACACTTAATCTTATATTCGTTTTAATTAAACGTTCCCACACATTTCAATGGGACTAAGATTTCTTTTTCCTGGTGGTGGCTCTTTTTTCATGTGACCTCTAATTGTGAGCAGTCTTATGATAGGAAGATACAACAAAGCCCAACTTCCAGCTTCTTCTGTGCCTCTAAAATAGTTTTTATTGAGTATTCTATTGTGTTTCAGTATGTTGGAACGTGACTCAGGATAGGAGCAGATACAGATATACAGAGAGAAAGAGAGTAGTTAAACAAATGAGGGATTAATAAAGGAAAATATTTGTAGCTCAGGGTTGACATGAGGGATCCTTGGTGCTCTCTGAGCTTGCTTGTTTTCTTGCAGATGTTAGCACTGATGATGTTACCTAGTTTGGGTAATGAAACATCTGCAAGAAAACAAGCAAACTCAGAAAGTACCAATAACCCCTCAAATGAGGGGTTTTATTCTGGCACTGATTTCTGTACTAATGCAGTAGTATGAAGTAGAGTATTGTTTCCAGAATAGGAGAGAAAATATAAGAAATTAAGCCTTAACCTACTTAAACTTCCCTCCCTCTAGCTCAGTGTTTCTCAACCTTGACAATTTTAAGGCATCTGGACTTCAACTCCCAGAATTCCACAGCCAGCAATGCTGGCTGTGGAATTCTGGGAGTTGAAGTCCACATGCCTTAAAATTGTCAAGGTTGAGAAACACTGCGTCTAGCTAGTCCTTTTCCTTTACTATGGTGGCCTCTCCCATTTCTTATCTCAGGTATTGACAATAACGTCTGAGTTTTCTCCTGGCTGTTTACCTCCCAAAGTCATTAAATCAGAGTGTCCCACCATCCTGCAGCTGAACCTCCATACCTAAAGCAGTCTGTTCTCCTGGCCTTTCCTTTGGATGGCAATAAAACATTGATTTAGTTATAGGTGACACAGCTGTGTGAACATTTCTGTACTCCTGAGGAAGTGAGAGTTTGGGGTGTGAAGAGACACACAATAAATTTTGAAAGAGGTGGGGTGAGTGGAAACAAAGACAGTATCAAGTAGGATCTAAATGAATGTGGATTGTATCAAAACATGGCCCCTAAAAAAGGAGGTGGTTTGATCAAACGGGGAAAGAAGGCGGACTGAATTGCAGAACAAATACAGAAGGAAGAAGAAATGGTTTAAGAGGAAGGGGGCAACCTGAGAAAAATATGGATGGAGTTAATGAGAAATGAAAAAAGGGATATGAAAAATTTAAGGAATAAAAAGCCAGGTAAAATTAATGGATTGTGTTAATAATGTGTGCAAATATGTTCCAATCACCAAAAGAACTCGAGTTGAAAAAAATGATTAGGGAAGAAAATTTTGAGCAAGTGCTCAACATCATCTTAAACCTAAACTTTAATATTTCACTATTGTTCTTTTTACACATTGCATTCCTCAACAAGAAAAGTATGTTCTTTTAGTATGTTATCCATTTAGTATTACAAAACATTTGTTTTCCTCACTTTCATTGTGAACTTCCAATAAAGATGAAATATAGAGCTTTCAGTAGTAAGCCTGTTAAAAAAAAAGTCAAACTAATGAGAAAAAAAGATAACTTCCTTATGATTTAGCACGTAAAATAGGTTCAAATCTGGGGTCTGTTCCTGACCTTATAATGACCCTTATAGAGCTATAATTTGGCTAGTCTGATCCAGTACATGAATCTTGAGTAGGATTGCATAATGTGCAGAACAATAAGCCCTTTCATATATGGAAAAAACACAAATTATACTTTTTTTTCTTTTTTTAACGGTTTAGGGTGTGTCTTTATTGTTTTTCAGACCAGCCAAGCATCATTGTAACTAAATTACTGAATTACCTACAAAAACTACCTGCTGATTGGAGATAAAATGTATTGATTCTGCAGCTACAAAGCCAGGAGCATCTGCAGAGGGCAATAAAAAAGGCCAAGGTGGTGGCTACCACTTTATAATCAAAGCTCTACCCCTTTTATAGGTGCTTAACTGAGGCACCAATCATGTTGTTTTTAATAACCCTAGATAGCCCTGAATTATGGACTTTATAGCAAGAATATATTGGGGAGCAGGTGGGGCATATGGCTAAGCAGGAAGGTAGAGACTGGAGACACTCCTTTTTCGTCGCTCCATGTCTCTTTTCAGATGCCCTTTTTGGCAGATTCCAAGGAAGATACAATAGCTTCCATCAGCGCTATCCGATCTGCCTGCAAGTTGAAGGAAGACAGATTTTGTTTTCACTGTTTCTGCTACTGTCTCCTGCTATTGTTTTTTCCTTCCTGTATTTCACTCCTTTCGTCTTGGAGCAACTTCAAAGTTTTTCTCATTTGTCCCCCTCCTTCCCTCACTCCTTTTGCCTGCAGCTTCCTCTGTCTTCAATCACCTAATCCTCAAATGCTAACATCACCCATCATTTCTACCACACCTCTACTTTGAGTAGCCTGAGAACATCCCATCTCAGGGCCCTTTTTAGGAAGGATAATATTAACTTGATTCCTCCTGCTGCCTTCACCATCTTCAACAAGGGGTTGCTGAGTCCTGCCAACTGTGAAGGCCACCTTATCTCCAAGTCTTAGCTTGCTTAATCTCTGTTCCTTCTTCCCCAATGAAAATTGAATCAAAAAAGAACCTTTCTACTAGTCATTAACATTTCTTGTAAGACTTTAGAAAACGATGGTTTCGCCTTGAAGGGTCAAATGAAAGAATGTACGTGCAAATGAGGCCCTGGGGATCAGAAGAAGGGTCATATGTGGAGACAGGACCCAGGTGTGGTTGTGATGGAGATGGGCGTGAGGAAGATGAAGTCTGAGAAGAAACATTTACTCTTAAACAACTTTTTTTTAACAGCTTTTTTCCTTTCTGCTCACTGAGGGTTTTGCAGACAAGCTTGCTAACAGTTGACATATTAGGAGGCTGCGGGGGATTGGGGGGGGTGCAGGGACAATGAAACGAGACAGAATCACAGATTTAACCACTTAGCCAGGATGCTGAGCTTCATTTACAAGAAATGTTAAAACCACATTGCTGGCCACAGGAAATTAGAAGCTTTGCAATATTCCCCGTGACCTAAGGAGGGCAAAGGTCGCCTGACATTTAGCTATTTTGCATAGCAAGCTAGAAAGCTTTAGAGGGCTGCAATCCAGGTGACCAATCAATATTATATGTTATGCATTTATTATTGGGGGAGGGAGGGAAAAGGGATGTATTGGGTGGGCAGAGGGGTATATGAAAATCACCTTTGGCTATAAAAACTGCTGTAAAACTGTAAACGGACGCCTCGGTAGCTTTCAAAGCTGAGGTGACTTTTATTCCTTGGTACCAAAATAAAAGTCTGTTTTTCCATACCTCGGGTTTGGTGTAATTAATTGGCTTCGACACCAAGCTAAGACCCAGTTTTGGCAACAACACCCTCGCATATTGGAATTGTGGTCCAGGTTGGAGAAGACTCTGCACCCAGAACTTGAGATGTACTTTTCAAAATCCTCCCTCCTTAGAATCTTTTAATACAAAAAACATCACCACGGTTTCTGCTCTGGACTGAATTTTTTTTTTTACCAACACTAACTTATTTATGAAATTAAAATGGGGAAAACTGCTGTGGAAAATTAGAGAGAAGAGTCAGAATAGCATTTATCAAGTCTGACAGCAAGAAGAATTAGAAAGGGATCTGATTACCATCAATGGTTACTTATAGAGAAAATGTTGATAAATCCCTGTTTTTTTTTCCACCCAATTGCTAGAGTTCCAGCCTCCATTATCAAAAGGAAAAAGAAAAAATAATTCTTTTTAATTATTCCACCATGCTGGGAAGGAGATTCAAAAGAATCTGACTTTTGATCTTTGATGCCATTAAGAAACCAATCTGCTTAATGAGAAAAGAGAAGCTGATTGATTTAAAAAATTTTTTTTTACTATGTTAACTTTGACTAGCAGGATATTACCAAAAGTATTTCACAAGCAAAACTATAGCCAAAATATGTTTTTCTTTATACAGCTGCATTCACACAATATACCTATCTGATTATCAAATTAATCCAAGAGGCAGCTGGAACTCACCTCCCTGCTTTGCCCTGCCTGAGCCCAGCCCCAGAGCTGCCCCATGCACCCCACACCTCTGCACCTTGAGGCCCAGAAGCCAGCCCCCCTCCGCCCCACCACCTGCCTTCCCTTGCCTCACCTCGCAGCAGCAGCAGCAGCAGCCCCGTCCAGCAGGAGCCCCCCCCCCAGCCTGGGAAGCCCAGCCTGGGCAAGGAGAACAAGCACAGCACATCTGATGTACAACAATCTACATTTATTCAAATACAATCATGCCATCTTCTTCTGGAACGTCATCATAACTCTCCAAATCCCAAATTCCGTTCTGAATTTCTTGCAACTCCATTTCTTGTAGAACCATTGGCCCCAATCTCTCATGTCCAGCAATAGAGCTCTCCTTAAATGAGCACTTCTTGTCCATGTAGCCATGCTTGTAGTGCATTGGCAACACAGCTGTCAGTGATTTTATCCCATGAATTCTTCACCCAGGTCAGGCCCTCTGACAGGCTAGGCTTTCAAAGTTTCCACACTGATTTCTCTCCATTCTATTTTAAATGTAGTCATTGATTTCCATGTGCAAATGGTCCTTGTTTATTGCAATATCAAAAGTCTGGAGGCAGGCATTCCTGTGGGAATCATTATTTGATCTATTCTTCTCTCTGCAAGGAAGTTCTTCGTGTCTTTAGTGCAGTGAGTGCTGGCTGAATCACAGACTAGCAGATCTCTTTGGCCACCTCACAAAACAAGTGGCAGCATTAAATCGACCTACTTCCTTATAACTGCTTGTGTGCACCAGGCTTCTTCAGTTTCAAGAACATAAATGCCTGAAACACGTTCAAGCTTATCTTTCTTGCCCTGAGTGATGATTAGAGGTGGGGCT